TTATCCTGTCATTCCAGGCCCTTGTCCAGAGTCCCTCTCCATTTCTCTTGGAGTCCCTTTAGGCACTGGAAAGTGCTCTAAGGTCTCCCCAGAACCTTCTCTTCTCTGAGTTGAACAGCCCCCGCTCTCTCAGGAGAGTCGCTGCAGCCCTCTGATCATAAATTCCTTCACATCCAGGTTTTCCCCATCTGAGGAGCTCTCCCAAATCACAAGGAACCCTCTGCCCATGTGGTGCATGGCAGACACCTCCCACAGCCAGACAGCAACGTTCGCATCCAACCACGGAAAGCTCCCCTCTGTTTGCAATGCTCTGCCCTGCCAAACACAAAGTGGGAGAACACCTTCCTACTTCTTCAGGGAAGACCAGGGAATCTGTGCAGATCCCGAGTTACTTGGAGGCAGCATTTCTCAACAAAGACAACCGAGGGAGTTCAGAGCAGCAACTCTTCCAGTGCCAAGAAGATCAGGATGGTGGCCCGGCAAATCAGCAATCCCAATACACCACATTAAGCTTTTGTCAGAGCTGTCACTTTGAGGAGAGTTTGCTACAAACCCGACACAGTGATTATCTTGTTCCCTTGCAGGAATGCAGGGACGGAGAGGCAGGGAAAAAGCAGCAGGATGGATGCCACAGGCTCTGTGGAGGCGAAGCCAGCACTGCTCACTGAGCAGGGACCACCACACCAGGGAAATCTGGCCAGAAACCACCCCAGTGCTGAAATGCTGGCCAAGAAACTGGTTTGAGGAAACACAGGAAATGCTAACAGCCTGGAGACATTGCCCAGTGCTCTGAGATGGGGGTGCACTTATGCCAAACCTCAGGACATCCAGCCAAAGGCAGGCGTGGGTGGTTATCAGATTAACCCACCACCCAGGGAGAAGGTTTTTTGGGTCACCACACTGTGCACGTCACATGCTGACAACTGGGAATGCTGCACAAGGATGTTGTAGAATGGATCCTTTTCCTCTCCATACACACTCAATGGCATCCCACAGAGCAGTGTCACAAGGAATCACATGAGGGATGAGGATATGGAGCAGCCTGTTGGGAGAGGAGCAATGGAAAGCCAAGTCTACCAGTGAGTCCACAGAAGAATGACAAGATTGTTTAGCCTGGAAAACAACTTTAGGATCATTTAGTCCAACGACTAACCCAGCGCCACCAAGGCCACCACTGACCATGTCCCCAGCTGCCACATCCACACATTTTTTAAGTTCTTCCAGGGATGGTGAATCCACCATTTCCCTGGGCAGCCTCTTCCAATGCTTGATATCACTTTCAGTGCAGATTTTTTTCCTAATATCCAACCCAAACCTCTCCTGGCACCACTTGAGGCCATTTCCTCTCGTCCCTTCATCAGCTTTGAGCCTTTGAATGTGCCCTTGGAAAAACAACGCCCCCAATTCCTTCACACCCCTAAAGACAAAATCAGCACATGATGAAACAGTACATGAAAAGCAGCATTTGTGAAGTTCACCAGCAACACCTGAAAAGATCACGATGGGGATAATGAGAAAATGCAACAAGATTTAGCAAGGACCTGGGCACAATAAGGGCATCAACCCATACATGTTAAATCTCCACTTGGTTTAACTAAAAAAGGTATATTTTACATGCAGTTTCGTGCACATGTATGTATTTTTAAGCACTGATACAAAACGCTGATTTTTCCAACCACCTCTACATGAAAGCACAAGTGGCCAGTCAGAAAAAAAGAAGAAAGAAAACCACTTGGTCACACAGGAAAAGTTTGAGCAGTGAAGCTGATGCTCAGTGCTCCCACCTGGACACAAATCCAGGCAGAGGCTTAGCCCCAGTCAACCTCTCACTTGCGTAACCTGAATGGCTGAAGAATGGGTCAGGCCAGTTGAACAATGTCCCCAGGGAGGACCTGCTGGTCTACTTAGCATGGAGTGGCCTCTCCAGACCTCAGTAGCCTCCAGCAAACACTTGGTCATGTGGATGAAGCAGGTTGGGGCCAGGGAGTACATTTTGCTTGTGCCCTGCACACCCCTTCCAGCAAAAGTGCCTTCACTGGCACAGAGAATCAGGGAGCTAAAAACAACTCCACCGCCTGGACTTTCAGGGTCTCAGCAGGTGAAAAAGAGCAAATCTGAGCAGGAAGAGATAAGGTCTCTCTGCTGCAAGAGATGTCCTTCTGTAGCTTTGCTCTCAAAGCACCCCATGTGGCTACCAAACAGCAGGGCTTTCAAGAGCATCAAGAAGAGCATCCCACACCCAACCTGAAGCTGGGGTGACTCTCCCCAAACAGTTCCCACCTACTTTCCTCATCCTCACCTTGCAGCACATTGACAGGCAGAGCACCAGACCCAGGGTACACTTGGAGTGGGGAGAGGAAGATCAGCAACTGTCCAAGAGCACAAAGACAACACAGGAACAGTTGTGAGCTGGGACAGGTCAACACATTGACGGGGACCAAGATGTTGTCAGCGCAGCCAAGGACCATGAGGACAGCTGGGCAGAGATATCTTGGCCCCAGCTTGGCTGACACCATCAATGCATCTCTCGAAGGGTGATGGGACTTCCACATTCATCACACCTGGTGTCCTTCATTATTCACACCACCAACAATGCCCTGCATCAGGCTCGTGACTCCAGGTCCAGCAAAAGCAAGATGGGTCNCCACATTCATCACACCTGGTGTCCTTCATTATTCACACCACCAACAATGCCCTGCACCAGGCTCATGACTCCAGGCCCAGCAAAAGCAAGATGGGTCACAGATACAGAGACACCACAACAGTTATTTCCACCCTCACTGCTGGAACAATCTTCACCATCACGTGGTTGACTACAGCTTTCCAACCCATCGGTCTTGGCTGCTCCCAGAGGCCACACTCATAGAATAATCACAGAATCCTTTAGTTTGGATACGACCTCCAAGATCATTGAGCCGACCCTTTGACTGACCATTACCTTGTCAACAAGACCAGGACACTACGTGACATGTCCAGTCACTTCTTAAACACCTCCAGGGATGGTGACTTCACCACCTCTCTGGGCACCCCTTTCCAATGCTTAACAACACTTTCCATGAAGAAATTCTTTCTGATGTCTAAACTGAACCTTTCCTGATGCAGCTTGAGGCCATTTCCTCTTGTCCTGCCATTTACTACCTGGGAGAAGAGACTGACCCCCACCTGGCTACGACCTCCTTTAAGGTGGTTGTAGAGAGCAATAATGTCCCTCCTGAGCCTCCTTTTCTCCAGGCTGAGCCCCCCTCCTCAGCTCCCTCAGCTGCTTCTCATAAGACTTGTTCTCCAGACCCTTTCCCAGTTCCACTGCCCTTCTCTGGACCAGCTCCAGCACCTCAGTGTGTTTGTTGTCATGAGAGGTCCAGAACTGGACACAGGATTTGTGGTGCAGCCTCACCAGTGAGGAGTACAGAGGGAGAATCACTTCCCTGGTCCTGCTGGCCATGCTATTTTTGATACAACCCAGGATGTCACTGGCCTTCTTGGCCTTCTTCCCATGTAGCCAGTCCTTTGTGCCACATAGAAGAAAGTGCACACCAAAGCAAGATATGGAAAGGGAAAGCTGTAAAGTTGAGAAAAGATGCCTTCAGCAAGGTTTGTTTTAAGGCAAGAGTAGCTCATACTGAAAGGCAAATCCTCTGGTTTTCAGTCCAGACCCTTGTAGGAGGACGATTTATGCTCTCTCTCAAGCCAAATGTGGTACTGGGGGACTATTCAGGACAGCAGTAACACTTGCAGTTACTGCTGCAAGGAGATCCAGGGGCAATGAGCACCAGAATTTAGGGAAACATCACCTGTATCAAAAGGGACACTTGTCACACTGATTCAGCACCAGTGCCGCCACAGGAAAATGAGATTTACACAAAGCACTGCTCTCTCCCCAAATACGAGCCTTGCAGGTGAGGAATCAGAGCTGCTGCCTCAAGGGACACCAGGGAGGAGTCCTGTAACTCTGCACTAGCTCCCTACACCTCCAAGGGGAGCTAAAACAGTCAGGAGGGAAAGAATAGTCCCAGAAAAAGCCAGTGGAGCTTGGTTTTGGCTCTTTTGCCACTCCTGAATGTCGTCCTGGACCAAAAATCAATATCCTTGGGAGTGGACCAGTGAACATCCAAGGGACACAAGCATATCCCACCAGTGTGGCCCAGGACCAGCCCCCCTCCCTGCCTGTCACACTGCACAGGAGACCAGCAAGGCTTTACCACCCTGGCAGGAGCTTCCAAGATGAGGAACATGAAGTTAAACCTGAAGACCCACAGAACAACATGGTTTTCAGTAATTTCAGGGAATAGGGGACAGACTTTTTAGCAGGGCCTGCAGTAACAGGACAAGAGGTAATGGTTTTGAACTGAAAGAGGGTAGAGGTTCAGACCACAGAGAAGGAAGAAATTTTTTGTGATGAATGTGGCAAAACACTGGCACAAATTGCCCAAGGAGGTGGTAAATGCTCCATCTCTGGAAACATTCAAGGCCAGGCTGGATGAGTCTCTGAGCCACCTGATCCAGTGGAAGGTATCCCTGCCCATGGCAAGATAGTTGGACTTGATGACCTTCAAAGGTCCCTTCCAACCCAGACTCTTCTATGACTCCAATTCTGCACGAGATCTTTAAACACCCATGTGTTGGCCATTCCCTGCATTTAATTTTTTTCTGTACATAACAAACTCTAGAAATCAAAGACATGAAACCATCAAAGGACCAGCACAATGAGAAGGCAGGAAGAACACGAAAATATGGCCAAAGCTCTGAGACAGCTCTTGGAGAAGGTTGTTCTCCATGTGAGAAAAGATAACAACACCCTGGGACTCCCTCCCCAGCCTCACCACCAGAATTTCATAAACCAGTTCTCACTTTTCACAACTCAGTCCAAAAGCGAGGGAAATCCTATAAATGAAATCCAGGTGGGAAAAAAAAACATTTCTCAAGGGCAAAATTTTATTTGCATCTGCCTGAGCCCCATCATTCCATGTGCAGGGGACCCTCTCCTGAAGAGATGCTCTTACCAACTGCTTCCTTAGTCCTGCTCCCCCAGCCTTAGACTTTCTTTTAATCTGGAAGGAAAACCAAAACAACTGATTAGTACTGGGAAGAAAACTATTTCACTGACAAGGTTAAGGACATGGACACCATCAGCACCACGAGCTCTGGTGTCCAGACACAACCTGCAGCCTCTGAGCTGGGCTGTCAGAACAGGTACAAAAGCAAGTGTTGGTTCCTCAAAACATCACTGCTGAGTATGGGAACAGCATCTTCTTTTTAAAAGAAATTAGAAATAAACATCTAAAATTGCTAAGAGTTTTTAATATTTCCAGATTAGCAGAGGTGCAAAAGTAGGAGGGTTATAATTGGCTGCAAGATGCCTGAAAAAATAACAAATAACGAATTAAAACCTTCAATGGAAAAGGGGAATCCCTTGCTTAATTGTCCAGCCTTCTTTAAGATCCCAAACCTGCCATGGGAGGAACACTCTGGTTGTAATCCAGTTAAGCATTTCAGTGTCTGTTAAACTTGAGAGAAGAGAGAGTCCTGCCAAATCAAGGTCTTGGCTGGTTGTCTCTCTCTCATTCTGGCCATCAAACATACACACACATCCCTACCTTCCAAGAACTTCCAAATTTAGCTTTTATTCCAGGAACAACACCTCTTGGCTATAAAAGCACCCAATTCTGCAAGGAAAAAGCAACAGTGGGAGGTAGGTCCTGCACTAGATGAGCACCAGGCAGCTCTCAAGAGCTTGCTTTGTTCAATTAACACCAGAGAGGACGCCCTTCACACACTGTATTTAGCTCCTATACTGCTCTGTGCTGAATATTTTTAAAATCCTATTGCATTAATAAACATTTCCTGTATAAACACTACATACTAACTCCATTCTCCATATAGAAAAGTCAGTAAAAAAAACAAGATGCAATTTCCTCAGGCAGAAAAATTCAGAGATAAAATTGCAGCAATGATTTATATCTGCCCATAGCAGCAATCCCAGCCTTGAGTGACCTCTCTGCAAACACACCAAGGCAATTACACGCAGTGGCAGCCGAATTTCCCCTCCCGGAGAAGCAGCTTCTTGGTGCTGGGTGTGAGAAACATCAAAAGGTACAATGAAAAATATTCGTGTAACTGAGCAGGCTGGGGACAACCAGCCTAGAGGTTTAATCAGGATTTGGATCAAATTGTGTGAGGGGTTTTGTAAGCATCGATTTTATTGAGTTGTTACAGCTGGAGGATGTAATTCCCAACGACCCGCCGATTTAACCTATGGAAATCACCATCGGCCAACTCAGCTCAGTCCTCCCACTCCATCCCCTCTTGTTTGCCATAGTGTTCATTAGCAGATGAGTGGTAAATCCACCTCATCCTTCAGCATCCTACACTTGGAACATGCCCAGTAGCCCTCTCATGTCCTCTTGGTAAGGTAAAACTCACCTAACAGGGAAAACACAAACTTTTTAAAAGCCACCAGCCATAGCTGGCAGCTGACAGAAGAAATGCTCCCAGTTTATTAGAATCAGAGAATGATTTCAGGTTGGAAAAGACCTCTAAGGTCAATGAGTCCAACCATTAACCCAGCACTGCCAAGGCCACCACTAACCCATGTCCCCAAGTGACACATCCACACATCTTTTAAATACCTCCAGGAATAGTGACTCAGCACTGCCCTGGGCAGCCTATTCCAAAGTTTGACAACCCTATCCATCATGAAATTTTTCCTAATATCCGATCTGAACATCCCTGGTGCAACCTGAGGCCATTTCCTCTTGTCCTGTCACTTGCTACTTGACCGACATGGGCAGGACAAGGCGACGTTGGGACCAGATGATTTTTAAGGTCCACTCCACACCCTCAGCATTCTATGATTCCATGATTTTATGGTTCTGGGTTCAGCCTGACAGTTCCTTGTATTGCCTAGGACATCCTTGTTCCAGCTTTTTATTGAGCCACACCATCATTGCTCTTTGTTGTAAGGATGTTTCCTCTGCTGGGCATCCCAGAGTCCCTTTCCTTCACCTCATTTCTTTAGGAAGGAAAACAAGCAGCAGGGGCTGAGGGCTGGGAACTTGTGACTTCAGCTGCCAGCCTCTCCTCCAGGAAAAGAAACTTAGGAAGAGTATGATGAAGAGCGTGTAAGAGGTGCATTTAGGTCTGGGTTTCAATCATCCCACGCTCCCTATCCCTGTTTACTGCAGGATTTTGCTAGGAAGAGCTAAAACCTGGAAGACTCTCCATCAGGAGAAAGAAATAGAGCAGCATGACCTTAAGGGAGCATGAAGAGAATTCTCACAAGCAAAAAGATCCAAATACCAGAAATTCCAGATCCCATCTGCTACCCAAAAGGGGTGATCTCTCCTCTCCCCCTGAGATGTTTACAACGGGGAAACCCTCTCATCCTCCCCAGCTCAGCAGTCACCCAGGTGCTTTGAGTCTTCTCCAATCTGCTCCACCTACACTTGCATGTGCAAAACAAACCCCAGGGCAGCTGTGTTTTCCCCAGCAGAGCAAAACAGCAGACTTGGAGAGAAGAGATCTGTCTGGGAAGCAAACGTGGTGAAAAGCATCCATGATGAGTGTGCCCAAGGGCAAGATCAGCCATTCATGGGAATGGCCAAGAAGCGGGAGAAGGTATTTTGATGCTGGAGATGATAGATGGAAACATGTTAAGATTTTCCAAGAAAGGCAGAGAGGCTGGGAGAACCTCACACTGAAGCTTTAAAAGGTAGGAGGAAGAGCAGCTCAAACAAGGCCAACAAAGTCACAAGGGATTCAACCCCTATGTTTTTTCCCTTTTTCTTCTTTGTCTGAAGGGTTCAGCCACGAAATGAAACGATTTCTGCCTGCACTGAGAGAGGAAATGCTCCTGTTTAGGTGAGATTAATTTCAGGATTGTGGCCAGACTCAGGAAATTGGTGGCAGAAATCCTTCATAGCTGGATAACAAGGTTTGCAGGTTTATGAGTAATTCTCCTGAATTATGTGCCCAGCACCTTGGGTGTGGGTGACACGTTCATTCCTCCCCTCCCTTTTTGAATGGAAAATGTCATCCAGGCACACAAACACAATATTTATTAAAAAAAGAATAAAAATAGCAACAACACAATTCATGAGGTGGAGGCAGAGATTGTATCTCGCTCGCACAATGTCCAACACAGCTGCTCTGTAGAGGAATTTGCCTGGTGGGTTTTCCAGGAGTGTCCCCAAGCTGCATCACAACCACAATGTACATCATGTCCCCATAACCTAAGGAGCCTCTGGGGTGGAAAATGGGACAGCACCAAGACAAATCAACAAAAACACTCCCCTGTACATCTCTGTTATAACAATCTTTTTGATATGGAGAGATCAATCCAGGCTTCCTCACTGCAACATTCCCATCCTCACTGCTGAGCCACCTCGGATCCTTAAGCCTGGTCCTACAAACACTGCAGGGACCAACTGAAGTTTTAACGCTGTCAGAGCTCAGCTGCAAAGAAACTGAAGAGAGGGAAGAGCAGCCTTTTTGTGAAGATGTCTCTGCTCCATCTGGATCCATCACCTTCCATTACTCAACTGCCTTTCTGGGAATTCTCCACGCCTTCCCCCATGTCATGCCCAGGCACCAGACATGAAAATAGCTTCCGACAGCTCCTGCTGGCAGGACAACGGCTCCGTTTCTCCTGGAGGATGAATGAGCAGATGGGACCAGTGGAAGATGGCTGAGCTAGAGCTGGACAACTGGAGTCTTTCCAATCCAGTAACTACAATCCAAAAGGATGCAAAGATCCTTCAGGGTCAGAACCTTTTTCCGAGGGGTAGGAACAGGGTCAAGGAATACGCAGGTTACCAACAGGCTGTACAGACTAAATTCTGTCTGCGTGGTTGGTTTTACTGTTCCCCAAATTCCTGCTTTGCCTGCTTATTCCCCAGTCAACCCAGCGTGTTATCCCAGGAAAACAAGCACAATACTGAGGAGTTTTGAAACTAATACGATGGGCTGGTGAGCATCTTCCGTCAGGCAGAACTAAAATTAAAATGCACACCCGCCCTCGCCTCACTCCCTGAAATTCCTCAGGCAGAAACTTCCCTGCGTCACATCAAGAGACTCCGACAGCTGAAGGAGCTGATGGGAAGCTGCACTTACAGCTGCTAACAGACTTCAGAGCAGGGTTCCAGCTCCACCACCATGTCTGCTCCAGCAGACCAGCCACAAGGCTGCTTCTAGAGCAGTTCCCTCCATGCACAGGGGTGACATTCAATCCCCCAACACAAATGGGTGGGAGAGGAACAGAGGAATAGTAGTTGCCCAATATTTTGGAGCAGGAAAAGGCAACCATGAGTTTTTTTCCCTCAGAAAACATTGCTGAAGGGCTCATGCATGTTGTGGCTATCCCATCACCCTGACACAGGAGAAATGAAAATAGAAGCCAGGAGAAAATTGATTCAGCTTCTGTAAAAACCTCAAGGAACAGGTGGCAGCAAACACAGAGTTTGGGGACTACACCATTATGACCTGTCACAAGGCAGAAAGAGCTTCTGAGAACCAAAGAATCATAGAATGGTTTAGGTTGAAAGGGACCTTAAAGACCATCTCATTCCATCCCGCTGCCATGGACAGGGACATCTTCCACTAGACGAGGTTGCTCAGGGTCCCATCCAACTTGGCCTTGGACACTTCCAGGGATGGGAAATCCACAACTTCTCTGAGCAACCTGTGCCAGGGCCTCACCACCCTCACAGCGAAGAATTTCTTCCTGATATCTAATCTAAGCTTGCTCTCTTTTTGAAGCCATTCTCCTAGTCCTGCCACTCCATCCCTTGTCCAAAGTCCCTCTCCAGCTCTCTTGGAGCCCCTTTAGGTGCTGGAAGGGGTTCTAAAGTCTCCCTGGAGCCTTCTAGTTTCCAGGCTGGACGTCCCCAAGTCTCTCAGCCTGTCTCCAGAGCAGAGGTGTTCCAGCCCTGTGATCAACTTAGTGGCCCTTCATCTGAACCATCTGTGGAAGCGTCTCCACCCTCGATGCACATCAACTACTCACCTACAGAGAAGTTTTGGGCAAAGATGTAACTCTGCAGTACCAGACCAG